CTTCCTTCCTTCCCCCCTCCCTCCCTCCCTCCTTCCCTCCCTCCCTCCCTTCCTTCCTTCTTTGCTTCCTTTTCTCTTATTTTTCTTTTCTTTTCCTCCTCTTCCTCCTCCTCTACCTCTTCCTCTTCTTCCTCCTCCTCTTCTTCTTTGGTATGGCAGAGAATGAGGTGGTACAGGTTAGAGATGGAAACCAGGAGCTAGCTAGTAAAAAACTTTCATTGCTGACATTTAATGTGGAATTATTTACATGAATTTGGCATATAGGTGTCATAGGTCTGTAATCCCAGCACATGGGAGATGGAGGCAAGAGGAACTACAGGCTAGCCTTCACTACAATTAGTGAGACCTGTCTCAAAACTTGGATTTGATGGTACATACCTGTAGTCCCAACACTCGGGAAGCTAGGGTAAAAAGTTAGGGCCAGCCTGAGCTACATAGCAAGTTCTACACCCTTTGAGTTACAAAGTGAAACTTTGTCTCAAAACAAAACCAACAAACCAAACAAGCAAAAAATATAAATAATTATATTAAAACCCCAAATATATTAAAGATACTCAAAATGTACTGAGACTTTGACTGTTTAAGTAATTGAATCCTTTTCTTAAAAATTAAAGTCTATTTGCAAACATATATCAGACAGATCACCTCAGAGAATCCTTGGACTGAAATGGAGAAAATCAGAGTCTGTGTTCGAAAACGACCTTTAGGCGTAAGGGAAGTACGTCGTGGAGAAGTTAATATTATTACTGTAGAAGATAAAGAAACTCTACTTGTACATGAGAAAAAAGAAGCAGTTGACCTTACACAATATATTCTTCAGGTAGGATCTTTCACTTATTGTGTTTCAAACTAATATTTCCAAGTATGTCAGTTTTTTACTTTATATTTAAATGGCTGTTCTAAAATCCAATTTCTGGTTCAGATATTGATTATTTAATGTTTTTTTGTTTGCTTGATTTTTTTTATTTATTTTGAGATAGGATCTCACCCCTGCTAGAACTAAAAGAGAGCCAACTGCCTCTGCTTCTCAAATGCTGGGACTAATGATGTGTGCCACTGAGCCCAGCACTTGATTTTTATTCTATGTTATTGATACCTTGGTCCTTCATTCTTTAAAAATGTAGTGGGATTATGATGTACATAGTTAAAAACCATAATTTCTACATTATGCAATGAAGCTGTACCATATATTCACTTAGCATATTTATGTGAATTAGCAAAATCAAGGGTACGGATGAGAGAATAAAAAAATAAAAAGAAATAAATAAAAGGAACTTGTCAGTAATTATTGATGACCAGTTGCTGAGAGTGTATGTCAGGGCTGAGCTCTTGTTTGTATTTTAAGCAAACACCTCACTATGTAGCCCTGGTTGTCATAGAATTTGTTAGGCATACCAGGATAGACTTGAACTTGCAGCTATCCTCCTGCCTCTTTCTACTGAGTTACTAGGATGGACAGACATGTGCTTTCCATGCTTAGCAGGAAAGAGAGCAGGAAATGTCAACTTATCACTCTACTGAGTGTGAGTTTTGTTAAGGCAGGGTATGACTCTATAGTCCAAGCTGGCCTGAAACTTTCTGTAGCTTATGCTGGCCTTGCATTCATGACTTTTCTGATTGAGCGTCCTGAGTGCTGTTACAGGTATATACCAGTATGCCCAGGTCTTGAGTGAGTATGAATCTTCTATTTAATAATGGATAATACATTTTCACATTTAACATATAAGGGTTTAATAAAATACTGCTCAGTTGCATAAAAAAATTTTAAACTATGAAAAAAGTTTGGTGTTGAACTTATTCCAAGTTAGCAAGTACCCATGCATCAATTCTAATTTAGAAGCAACAGACACCACAAATGAGGAAATCATATAATCACAGTATGTTAAGATTTTGGAATCTTAGGGGCTAAGGAAATAGCTACACAAGCATAAGGAGCTGAGTTCAGATCCCAGCCCCCACTTTAGAAACTGAACATTGTGGCAGATAGCTGTGACCCCCAACACTGGGAGACAGAAACAAGAGACAGGCTTTCTGGCCAGTCTACCCAATTGATGAGCCTTGGGTCTAGTGAAAGATCTTGTTTGAAAAAATGAGATTCAGAGTGATAAGGATGCCCAACGTCAGTCTCTGGCCTTCATGTGTGCATGCACAGGTGTGTGCACACAGATTTTGGAACTCAGAGTTTCTTCTACTCTGAATCTGCCTTCTCTTAGTCTGCCTTCATAACCATTCATATTGAACATTCATTCTTTCTCTTGTTCAGTTACAAAATGCAGTGACTAGTAACAAGAAAAATGTGGTGATTAATAGGCTGTGCTAGCAGTTCACCTTAGTCAGCTGCAATATTATTCTATTGCAGTAAATCTTCTCACACTGAAGTCAGATTGTTGAAACTTACCCTTTCTTTCAAACTTACATTGTTCTTACAAAAATTAAGTTTCACGGTGGCATCTAGAGTAATCCCATAGTCTTCCTATGGGCAATAAATTACTAGGGCACTGTATAGCCAACCCAATCATTTTAACAGCGCCATTGATTGTTGATCAATGCACAGTCTATTAGGTTTCCGTGGGAGATACTTACTTTGAAGATAGTCTAAATGATCAATTAGCTGTAAGGCTAGTTAGTTTCATGGCTGCTATGGGCATAGTAATAGCTCTGTCCAGTCACCGTCCACCCAAAGCCTCCTTAATGATGCTTCAGTCACAGCAGCTCCTCAGGAGGCATCATGTTATCTTTTGTATTTTTCCATTATCCCCAAACACAATAACCTTACTCCTTTGTCATTGCCACTGATCAATATGTATTGAATATCCATAGATTGCATGGCAGTTTCTCTGCTGTTGAACTGTGGACCTCTGCTCTCATAGGTCAGAGTCCTTACTTGTCAATACTATGATATAAAAATATTTCTTTTTCCTTCCTTTAAAAGAAGTCTGTATTGAACTTGATGCTAAATAAAAGTGATCCCAGTTCTTTAGGTTTTATTTTGAAACTTGCTCAGGTAGTAAAACAGAAAATTTGCTTACATAGTTAAATAACCTATCTTTTCCAATCAAGAATGTCTACCACATACCCGTTAAAAATTTTATGCAAGCACAATAACTCAAAAAAACAAAACTAATTATCTTCCTTTCTAAATCATTTCTTTTTGTCTTTCTTTCTCTTTTGTTTTTGTTTGATTGTTTTGTTTGACTTTTAAATTCCATCCCTGACAAATACTGGAAATTTAATTCAGGGCCTCATAGTGCTAGGAAAATATTTTACCACTGAACCACATCCCAAGCTCTACTCTACTCTCCGGTTTAAAAAAGAAATTCCTGTATTTATGTATGTATTTATTTATCTATTTATTTCTTTATTGAGAGAATGTATCACTACCTAGTCTGCTGGCTTGGTATTTACTCTGAAGCCCAGGTTATATACTTGTGATCCTCTTGCTTTGGCAACTCATTACAGGCAAGTACTACTGGTCTTTTGAATTTCTACAGGGCTCTCGAGTTGGCTCAGTGGTTAAGAGTACTCACTGTTCTTCCAGAGGATTTGAATTCAGTCCTAACACCTGTGTTAGCTACCTCACATCTGTCTGTAAGGCTAGTTCCAGGGGATCCAGTACACTCTTCTGGCTTCAGTGAGCATCTGGAGACATGTGATAGACACTCAAACACATCAGTAAAAAATAAATTTGTAAAGGGACTCCAGGATTCACTGGACCAACAGAAGGCCTGTGGTTTGGGTGTTTAAGACATAGTCTCACTATATAGCTCTGGCTGTCCTAGAACTCACTATGTAGACCAGGCTGGCCTTGACTTAAAGAGCTCTACCTGCCTCTGCCTCCCTAGTGCTGGGATTAAAGCCATTCCTGGCTATTTGTGTCATTTTTATATTGATATTTTTATGTACAAAGGTGGGATAGATGTTGAATAGGTATATGTTGAATAGATATATTTTGATCACTTTCTTTGGTCTCATATTTAGCCATAAAGTAGAGGACTGAATGGATCTGGAAAGTATATTAATATGGTAACCCAGACTCAGAAAGACAACTCGCATATATCCCCTCTCTAGTTTTAGTATGTGTGCTGCTGAAGCAAGTGACACGTCTTCTCTCTCATACGCACATCTTAGTGTTGAATTTTTAAATATGTGTGTATGGGGTAGATAGAACTAAAAGGGGGCCATGGGTTAAGGAAAGAGGAGAAGGCATGAAGACATAAGGTGCTTACTAGAGGTGGAGCAGAAAGATGGGAAAAGAAAGAGGAAGGAGGATACTTAAAAATGATGTTGACAGACAGCTGGGGAGTCACTGAAGACAAGTGTCGGGGTTTCTTTTGGATACAGTAAATATGTTTTTTTGTTTTTGTTTTTGTTTTTTTGGTTTTTTTTTTTTTTTTTTTTGGTTTTTTGAGACAGGGTTTCTCTGTGTAGTCCTGGCTGTCCTGGAACTCACTCTGTAGACCAGGCTAGCCTCGAACTCTCAAACTCAGAAATCCACCTGCCTCTGCCTCCCAAGTGCTGGGATTAAAGGTGTGCACCACCACCGCCCAGCTGGTAAATATGTTCTAGAAGTAGATTATGCTGATTGTTGGATGGCCCTTTGTGTATACTAAAAATGTATATTTTGAATGAAAAGTGATATGGTTGACATTTCACATGATTCTGACATCTCTTATCCCAGCAAAAATTTATCTACAATGTGTTGTTTACTCCTGTACTGTGTAACAAACTGGTTTCACATGGAAGCAATTCAGGTTTGTATTCCTGCATAAGAGTTTGTTCCTCAGTCGGGCAGTGGTGGCGCACGCCTTTGATCCCAGCACTTGGGAGGCAGAGGCAGGCTGATTTCTGAGTTTGTGGCCAGCCTGGTCCACAGAGTGAGTTCCAGGACAGCCAGGGCTACACAGAGAAACCCTGTCTCGAAAAACCAAAAAAAAAAAAAAAAAGTTTGTTCCTCTCTGAATTTAATTCATTCACAATCCTTTGTGTATTATGTAATTAAAATATAAATTTTCATTTAAGGAAAATGTTATGTTCAAATGTTATGTTGAAAACTGCCATAATAAAACTATTATTTTGTGTGCGGATTAAAAATTAACAAACAAAAGCATGAATGCTAAAAACATTTAGCATGGGAGCCAGGAAGATGACTCAGTGAGTGAGCACCTTGCTGTGCAAGCATGAGGACCTGAGTAAAAGCCAGCATGACTGTACACACTCATAACACCATTACTGTGGGCTGTGACAGCCAGATCCCAGGAGTTCATTGACCAGCCAACCTAGAAATGGCAGCTTTTAGTTCAGTGTGAAACTCTCACTCAAAGCAGTAAGGTAAAGAGTGATAGAGGAAGACACCTGATGTCCTCCTCCAGCCTCTGTATATACACTTCCATGTATACAACTCGAACTTCCCCAACACACACGCACACGCAGGCAGACAGACAGACAGACAGACAGACAGACAGATGGTGGTCTTGAACTGGTGGTGTACCTGAGATGACCTTGAATTCCTGATCCTCTTGGTTCCACCTCCCAAGTGCTGGGATCCTAGGCACATGCAACCCCACTCCTGCTTTTACTCCAAGCTACAGACTGAAGCCTTGGATTTTATGCATGCAAAGCAAGCATTCTACCAACTGAACTACATATCCAGCCTGGATCTTTAATCATTCTTCAGATTCATTCTCTAACATTACTATGTTTGGTGACTTTGTGAATGGTAAACTTGGCTCTGTGATCTCAGTTTCTTCTCAAATGACCTAATTTCCATCCAGCGTAGTATAATAGTACATAAAAGGTCATTGAACCTGGGGAAGAATGAGCCAAATTAAATTTGCCAAAGTGCAGTTTTCTCGATCTGGCTATACAATTATCTAATTGAATAATTAGAGCAGGTTCAAAATGAGGCAGAAGATAGGCCCTAATCTCACTCATTCTGCGGTAACTGTCATTCTGCTGTAGTCAGCTTGAACTTGCTAAACTTTCCTACTCAGGTGTAGGTGTGTTACCATCATGGTAAACCTTGAAGTTATGCAAAAATTTCAGCTTTTGAATTACTGCTTTGCAGAGACCCAGTGTAATGAGATCACCCTGGTTTTTTATTTGTAGCCCCTTCTGTCATATCCAGTCATTTGTCTTTTTGTTTTGTTTTGTTTTCCCATTGTTGTCCCTTCCGACTTTATCAGTGAGTGACTGGAGTCTAGTCACAATGTAGTCTCATTGTGAACTCAGATTTATCTTGCAGTGAAATAGCTTAGATCATCCTTCTCCTTTGTAAAATTCTTTACTGTGCCCTCATTGTTTCTGAATTGTTTTCCTAACCCTTTTAAGGCTAATGTTCAGGACTCCTAGTACTTAACCCTAACTCAACTATTCTAGCACTGTATCACTCTTCCGTTTACCAGAGTCCTGTATTTCAGTTGTCCTGGGTGTTTGCTGTTTTCCTACACAGAAACTAGTTAATTCATCGTGCTTTCTTTCTTTGGCCTTTTGCTTATACTTCTGTCTGTATCTCCGTCTCTCCTCCCGTCTCTAGCTCTCACACCACCACATCCAGTCTCATAATATCTTTCTCAAGCAGAAGAATTACACTGAATTATATACTCCCTCCACTCCTTCGCAAGACTTTTCATAGAAAGGACTTGAGGAAAGGGGTATATAGAAACTCTAACTTTGTTCAGTTTTTCTTTAAAAATGCTCAAAAATTATTGTTAAAATAAAAATAAGGCTTGATGCCGGGCGGTGGTGGCACACACCTTTAATCCCAGCACTTGGGAGGCAGAGGCAGGTGGATTTCTGAGTTCGAGGCCAGCCTGGTCTACAGAGTGAGTTCCAGGACAGCCAGGGCTACACAGAGAAACCCTGCCTCGAAAAAACTAAAAAAAAAAAAAAAAAAAAGGCTTGGAATGCAGTTATCCTGGTAGAGTGCCTGCATGAAACTCTGGGTTTAGTCCACAACACCACATAAACCAGGCAGGGTGGTACATTCATGTAAAATTCTAGCACTTAGGAGGCAAAGGCAGGAGAATCAGAAGTTCAAGGTCATCCTTGGTTGTATAACTTCCAAGTCAGCTTGGAACACATAAGACCATGTCTCAAAATAGTAATAACAATAATCAAACAGATCCATTAAAACAAACATTGTGACTTTCCCTATAGCTAAATACTTAATAACTCCCAACTCAGAGTATCAGGAGACACTGAAGACCGGGCACAGTACCACAGCTATCAGGGTACATACTCATTCATTTTACCTTTCTATTAAAGTTCTTCTCAGCACCTTCAGGAGTGGAGTGGGATAGTTCTTTACCTCTGGGCTCCTCCAGGCTCCTGTTACAGTGTACATACACCAGCTAACAGTGAATGTTTATAGAACTACAAGTTAAGTTGATCCTTAGAATTCACCCAAATTTTCATATTTATTGGCCTTGCCAAGTCTGTAAGATAACCCTTATAGAATTCATTTCCTTTCCTAGACTCAATTATATTCATCAGTTTACTTCCCTTAAGAGAGAGCAAAGTTATTACACTGTAAGAACATGTACTGACAGCAGTAGGAAGCAGAAAAGGACAGTCATTTAACAGTTACTGGTTGTTTATTTCTCTGAGTTTGTCAGTCAGTTACTTCCTATTGCTTAGAAATGTGTTTAGCCCTTCCCACGTATTAATAAAATAGTGGTGGTGGAAATGCACATGGATTGCTATAAAAATCAAGTTTATTTTTCAGCATGTTTTTTATTTTGATGAAGTCTTTGGTGAGGCATGCAGCAATCAAGATGTATACCTGAAGACAGCTCACCCCCTCATTCAGCATATCTTCAATGGGTGAGCCAGATTGATTGCTTCTTTTACTTTTAGTTTTCTATTCTCCATGAGCTCCATTAATACATGAATGCCTTTCTAGTTCTTTTGAATTAAATATGAATTTATGCTATAGCCTAATGAACTTAATTAGACTCTTCTGGATTCATTTGATTTACTAACTAGTGAGAAATTTGTAACAAAATTTCCTTTTACACTGGAGATAGTGTTTCTGTTTCCTGGCTAAATAAAAGCTATCAATAGCTTAATTTTGTATCTTCAAAATAAAAGATGTAAGAGGTTGTATTTAGCTTGAACTTTGACATTTCTAAGCACTTGGAAGACTGAGGTGGGAAAATAGACACAGGTTCAAGGTCAGCCTGGTCTACATGGTGAGCTCCAAGGGCCTAGGCTAGCCTGGATTGCAGTTAGAACTGTCACAAAAATAACAAAAGTAAAACATAGAATGCGAAGGAAAAGAGACAAAATCTCTAGGATACATTAAAGCATCTTATGTGGTAAGTGCTCGTTGGTGTGTGTGTGTGTGTGTGTGTGTGTGTGTGTGTGTGTGTGTGTGCTGGGAATCAAACTCACTGCCTCCTGCATGCAGGACAAGCACTCTACAAACTGAGCTGTATATACTCTAGCTCAAGTGGCCTTCAAAGTCATTATTTTCTCATATTCAACAGTTATCTTATGTAGTATTATCAATTCTGTAAAATAATTCCTTTAAGAAAACATATTTTGGTTTGGGGATGTTTTTAAATATATTTTTATATGTTAAATTTCTTCAAGGATTCTTTTTCTTCCTGACTTGTCATTACACATCTCTATGTAAATTATTCTTTAAATACTTATAAATAATTGTAATGATTCTTTCCTTAGAGGCAATGCCACCTGCTTTGCATATGGACAGACAGGTGCGGGGAAAACCTATACCATGATAGGAACTCATCAAAACCCAGGATTGTATGCTCTGGCTGCCAAAGATATCTTCAGGCAGCTGAAAGTATCCCAGCCAAGAAGGAATCTCTTTGTGTGGATCAGCTTCTATGAGATCTACTGTGGACAACTCTATGACCTCCTAAATAGAAGAAAACGGTACTAGATAAGAGTGAGAAAGAAGCCTTTTGGTCTGTACATTCCTGTTGGAGCCAGAGCTCCATGGAATCACTTTGATCACATGGCTTTAATGAGAGACATTTTTGTGAAGTAGCAGTCTCTGGCATGGGTTGATCTTTCTTCTCCCTCTTTCCCTTTCCTGTTTTGAGATTGTCTGGCTGTAGTCTTGTCTCATGTAGAACTTGCTGGTTTGCCTGGGCAGCCTTGAACTTGTGATCATCCTGACTCAGCTTCCCAAGTGATGGGATTAAAGACTTTTGCCACTATGCCCAGCTTGGATACATAGTTTTTAAACTGATAATTCAGCTAGAAAAAAAGGTTTATTAGGCACCTATTAAGACCTTTTCAGTGCTGAGGTTTGAACCTAGAGCCTTACACATGCTTTGCAAGCATTCTGCCGCTGGATTACATTTTCAGTTCCTGCTAATTTTTTTTTTTTTAAAGAACAGTATTATAGTATCTATCAAGACTCCTCCCCCTTTTCCCTGTGAAAAAGATAACTTTCAGAAAGTTAGGAAATCAACATGTATTTAAATATTTTCCCGCCGGGCGGTGGCGCACACCTTTAATCCCAGCACTTGGGAGGCAGAGGCAGGCAGATTTCTGAGTTCGAGAGTTCGAGGCTAGCCTGGTCTACAGAGTGAGTTCCAGGACAGCCAGGGCTACACAGAGGAAACCCTGTCTCAAAAAAAAAACAAAAAACAAACAAACAAAAAAACCAAATAAATATTTTCCCTTTAAATAATGTTAGTGTAAACTTAATGACAGCTTTCTGAAACTGGCATAAAAAAAAAGTCTTTTTCTTCACATTCAACCCTTTAAAAGTATTTATTTATTTTTATTTTATGCAGGTATTTTGCCTGCATGTATTTGTGTGCATGTTTGGTACCTACGGAGGCCAGAAGAGGGCATCAGAATCCCTGGAACTGGAGTTATGGATAGTTGTTAGCTACTGTGTGAGTGCTGGAAACCAAACCTAAGTCCTCTGGAAGAGCAGCCATTGCTCTTAAATTACATTTGCATTTCTTTATTTTGTGAGCCTGTATGTACGTGTATGTATGTAGGTGTACATGTGTCATGATGAGCATGCAGAGGTCAAAGGACAACTTGTAGGAGTCATTTCTCTACCATGTGGGTCTAAGGCAACAGTTGTGAAGGATCAACTAGCTGGAGGACAGAAAGGTGAGAGGAAGGTAAAGGATTGCATAACAGAATGAACTGCACCTGGTGTGTACGGGGAGAGCGAGTTAAGCCTGGTGGAAGGCTAAGAAAGCCTGGCTGGTGCCACAGCAAAGGTACACAAACCGTTGTGGAGCTGTCCAATGTGACATTCTTGTTCATGTGCTTCAGGCAAGTGGTGGAATAAGGTGTAGGAACAGGTCGTGTCTAGTCAGGAGACCACAGAAGAGGCTCCAGCAGGGAGGGCACTAGTGTACTGAGTAGCGTAACTGAATAAGCCAGCAGGTGGGCTGTGAGCCATCATTGTACTGCTGACCATTCCAAAAAAATTATGCAGGTTTGTCCCAGCTGAGAGGAAGTACAGAGTTCATCTCAGACATTGCTATCCAGGGCAGTTTTCTCACTCACCATCTCTGTAATAGTTAACTCAATTATGGCTTTTCTTCCAACCCCAGGCACCCTCATTAAAAGTCTTTTCCAAGTTGTGGATGTAGCTATGTGGTAGGAACACTTAACCGAGCATGCACAAGGCCCCGAATTCAATCCTCAGTATGAAAAAAAAAGAGAGAGAGAGAGAGAGAGAGAAAAGAACTTTCCCCCAGGAATGGTGGCTTAACCCTGCAAACTAGCATTCAGCAGACTGAGATACGAAGATCAGAAATTCAAAGCCAGCCTGGACTACACAGGGACAGCCTGGACTACACAGGGACACTGCCTCGTCTCTAACCCCCCCAAGCTCTTTGTCGTTATAATACCTACTTCTTTAAGCAAAAGTTTTAATGAATTATCCAAATTATCACCCTAAGTATTTGTATTCTTCAATAGTAAACAAAGGATGAGAATACACTAACTGTGTTGAAGTCTTTTTTTTAACAATCTTATATTACATTTTATTTATTTTGTGTGCTAAGCCATTTCACCAGCCCTTGCTCTGTTTTGTTGCTGCGTATGGTGTATAGTTTCATGTCAAACTAACACAAGCTAAAGTTACCTGAGAGGAGGGAACTTGAAGGAAGAAAATGCTTTCATAATATTGGGGCTGTAGGCAAGCCTGCAAGGCATTTTCTTGGTTGTGGGTAGTGCCATCCCTGGGCTGGTGGTCCTGGGTTCTGTAAGAAAGCAGGCTGAGCAAGCCAGGGGAAGCAAGCCAGTAAGCAGCACCCCTCCATGGCCTCTGAGTCAGTTCCTGCCCTTTCTGCTTTTTATTGTCAACTGTGAGTGAAATAAACCTTTTCCTCCCCAGGTTGCTTTTGGTCCTAGTGTTTAATTACAGCAACAAGAACTCTAATACACTATGAAAGATCCACACTTACTCTGTAAGGTCTTGGGCTCTGGGGCCTGTTTGTTTTTATACCTGGTTAACCTTTCTGGGGTTCTGTAAAGTGCTGTCCCTGATGATACTCTTTCATATATTTACTTGCTTATCTTATGCTTTTAAATAAGATCTTTTGCAAGCCAGGTGTGGCAACTCATCCCTTTAATTTCAGCACTTGGAAGGCAGAGGCACAAAGGCTACTGCAAGTTTGAGGCTGTCCTGATCTATATAGTGAGTTCCAAGCTAGTCTGGGCTGTACACTAAGACTTTGTGTTTGTTTATTTGTTTGTTTGTTCAAACTAAGAGGACTAGTGAAATGCCTTAGTTGGTAGAGGTGCCTGCTACCAACCCTGACAGTCTGGGTTTGATCCTGAAGCCCACATAGTGAAATAGTGGGTTCCTTCTAAGTCCTGTGTTTGTTTGTTCTCTCTTTCTTTCTTTCTTTCTTTCTTTCTTTCTTTCTTTCTTTCTTTCTTTCTTTCTTTCTTTCTTTCCTTCCTTCCTTCCTTCCTTCCTTCCTTCCTTCCTTCCTTCCTCCTCTCCTTCTTTCTGTATAAAATGAAGCTTATTCGGGGCATGGCAAGTGGGGGTTGAGAAGAGAGTAGAAGCAGAGAAAGAGAGGGGACAGAGAAAAACAAAGGTGGGGGGAAGGAGGTGAGGTAAGCCCCAAGAGACCAAAAGAGGGCATTCACTTCTTTTGGGGGCGGGGGGTGTTTGAGACAGTTTCTCTGTGTGGCCATGGTTGTCCTGGAGCTCACTTTGTAGACCAGGCAGGCTTCAAACTCAGAGATCTGTCAACCTCTGCCTCCCAAGTGCTAGGACTAAAGGTAGGTGCCACTATGCCCAGTTTAAATTCACTTCTTAAACTAGGAAATAAAGCCTAAGCAATTTTAAGAAATCCTAAATGCAGAAAATAAGTTGTTTTCATAGACTTACCTAAAAAAGGATAAAAATATAAATTTTAAAAAATATTTTTAGGGCTAGAGCGATGGCTAAATGATTAGGAACACCGGCTGCTCTTCCAGAGGTCCTGAGTTCATTTCCCAGCAACCACATGGTGGCTCACGACCACCTGTAATGGGATCTGCTGCCCTCTTCTGGGGTGTCTGAAGACAGCAACAGTGTACTCACATACATAAAATAAATAAATCTTTTTTTGTTTTGTTTTGGTTTTTGGTTTTTGGTTTTTTGTTTTTTGGTTTTTTTTCAAGACAGGGTTTCTCTGTGTAGCCCTGGCTGTCCTGGAACTCACTCTGTAGACCAGGCTAGCCTCGAACTCTCGAACTCAGAAATCCGACTGCCTCTGCCTCCCAAGTGCTGGGATTAAAGGCGTGCACCACCACCGCCCAGCAAATAAATAAATCTTAACTAAATAAAGTCGAAGAGGGTGTTGGATCCTCTGGAGCTGAAGTTATAGGTATCTATTCACCTGATTCACCTGATGTGAATTCTGGATTTCAAACTTAGGTCCTGGAAGATCAGTAAGAGTTCTTAACTATTGAGTTCTTAACTACAGAAATGTTATTTTTATGCATGTATGTATATACTTATGTGAGTTTATGTGCACCATGTATGTGCCAGGTATCCACAGAGGCCAGAGGGAGTCAGATTCCTTAGGATTGTGGGTACAGGCAGTTGTGAACTACCTGATGGGGGTGCTGGGAACTAAACCTGAGTTCTTGACAAAACCAATTAAGTACTCTTCACCACTGAGCCAGGTCTTCAGTCTCAGAAATATAATTCTTTTGTTTGTTTGTTTGGTTTGGTTTTTTTCGAGACAGGGTTTCTCTGTGTAGCCCTGGGTGTCCTGGAACTCACTCTGTAGACCAGGCTGGCCTCGAACTCAGAAATCCACCTGCCTCTGCCTCCCAAGTGCTGGGATTAAAGGTGTGCGCCACCACCACCCAGCCAGAAATATGATTCTTAATCACAGGATTTATAAATCTAGCAGTACATTCAATACTGTCTTGTATGAACCTTTCTAGGGTGAACATCTCAGAGCTTAAGTTGAGGTAGTGTATTCAAGAGTGATGTGGGGAGGTGGTTTTTTCTTTTATTCAGAAGTGTAGTTCTGTGCCTGTTTTCTGAGAGATCATGGGCACTGGCAACACGATTTCTCTTACTATTCTGTAAAGTTTGGAAACTTAGATTGAGAAAAAAATATTTTTTGTTTTTTGTTTGTTTTTCAGAAAGTGTCTCACTCTGTAGCCCTAGCTAGCCTAGAATATACCATGAAGCCCAAGCAGGCCTTAAACTCACAGAGATATGTCTGCCTCACCACTGCAAACCCCTCCCCCTCCTTTTTTTTATTTTTAGAAACTAATTCATTCTCTTTCAATATCTTTCTCTGCTACATAAGAGAATTTCATACTTAGCCTTAATCAGTATCTTACTAAAGGGTAAAAGTAATTTTGGAATATTGAGAAGATTTAATACTTGCTGTTGGTATACCTGATTTAATATCAGTGGTAGTCCATAATCATTTGCCACCCTATTTGTAGGCCTGGAGTGTTCAGGTGCAGCATCCCCTCCCTTGCCTTCTGATAAGAATCACATGGCTGTACTCTTAGTACTTAGGTGACTGAGGCAGGAGGATCACAAGTTGCAAGCTAGCTTGAATCACATAGTAAGACCCTGTCTCAAATAAAACAAAATTATGTATCAGGAATCCTTCTGTTACAAGTTAAAAAAAAATCCACTTCTACTTTTTTTATTTAGGGAAATCATTAGCTCAGATAACTTGGAAGCCTTCAGGATATTCTGATCTCTCACTCCAGGATAATGGTGCAGTTACTCTGTATCTCTGCTCTACCTCTATCTGTTAGCTTTATCCTGAAGCTAGTTCTTTGTAGATACAAATGGCGGCTGCTGCTGCCAGGATCACATGCTTTCTCTTCAAGAGAGAAAAGGAGAGCCCCTAACAAGCAAAGGCCGAAACTCTAGGTTGATTAGATAGCAAAGGTCCTGCCCTATCCACCACTGCACTAGTTACTAGCCAGGATTACGCCTTCAGGGATTAGAATATGTCTGGGTTTTATGCTCATTCTTTTGGTTTTAATAAAAAACACTGATTTGTTTACAAGGAAGGACCAGCTCGGTAGTCTGAAGCTGGTTAGTGAAGAAGTAGGGCTGGGGAGGGAAGCATACCCATTCTATCCAAATGAAAAACGACTATATAATGGAAGATCCATAGACTGTTTTGGAAAGGCAAGACACACCCAGTGTCATACCAGCTACGTTTTTGCATCTGCAGGCTCTTCGCAAGAGAAGATAGCAAGCATGTGGTGCAGATAGCTGGCCTTCGAGAGCTCCAAGTGGACAGTGTGGAACTTCTCCTACAGGTAATTCCTTTCTCCTCACACCTAGAGCAGCCTCAGGCCAGGGAAAACCTTGATTTTGCTTCCTGGCAACTGATGGCTCAGATGAAAGGACACGTTTACAGTTGTGATGTTTGAGCCATTTTATGAAGATAGCTTATTTCTCTACAGCATCAGAGAGTGGGAGGTAGGGTATGTGGCACAAACAAATGCGTGGCAAAGATGCTCTTGAGCTGGCTTCAAAGGCTGTGATTATATTTTCTGTGGCTATGGGCTTAAGAGAAAAGGTTCTTTGCTAAAGGCAAGGGTGCTTATTTTAAATAAATTTTTAATAAGAAATACTTTCACATGCTCTTAAAATCCAAAGAATTAGGAAATTCCCTTTCCATTCCCTTTTCCTGAGGCAACTAATTTTATTAGTTTTTATGTATGCTTCCAAAGGAATTTTGAAGTCTGCTTCGTTTTATTAGAAGTTATCCGTTTGTTATAACAAAAGTAATATTCTCTCACTATTACCCATTACAGCAATATATAAAAAGATAGAAAGAGTCCTTTTATTTTACTATCTCCAGCACACAAACGCTGACTATATGATATCCGTGGTTAATTGCTTGTTCAGAGGTCATTTATTGATTTATGTACAAATATCTTTTTAGTGAACCTTCTTTTAATGATCCTTAGCCTGTCTTTCTTGGGGAAGTAGATGCTGGGGACCAAACCCAGAGCTTGCAACACACTAAGCAAGCACTCTGCCGCTGAGCTCTGGGCTCAACCCTGGCTTTACATTAGTTTGTTCATAGGTCTTTTTCCTTGATTAAAAAAGTACCTTAACTTTTTTTTTTTTTTTTTTTTAGATAAGGTCTTATGTAGCTCAGTCTGACTTCTAACTTACTGTGTAACTAAGAATGACCTTGAACTTCTTATCCTCAGGTCTTTACCTCAACTAAAATGATTACAGGAGTGAGCCACCAGACTTAGCTCTTTGTTTTGTTTTGTTTTGTTTTGTTTTGTTTTGTTTTGTTTTGTTTTGTTGAGACAGGGTTTCTATGTTAAAAAAAAAAAAAAAAAAAGCCCTGGCTTTCATGGAGCTCACTATGTAGACCAGGCTGGTCTACTGTCTGCCTGCCTCTATCTACCGATTTCTGGGTTGTTTTGTTTTGTTTTGTTTTGTTTCCCGAGACAGGGTTTCTCTGTATATCTCTGGCTGTCCTGGAACTCACTCTGTAGACCAGGCTGGCCTCGAACTCAGAAATCCACCTGCCTCTGCCCCCCAAGTGCTGGGATTAAAGGTGTGCACCACCACTGCCCGGCTCAGTTTTTCTTAAAGTAAAGAAAGATACCCACTAAATCAATATGTTTATGGCAGTATCTTCTGAATTGTTTGCCTAAAACTGAGCACTTACAGAGCTGTTTACCCACAAATAATAAGGTATTTGGGGAAATTTTTTTAAGTGCTTTTGAAAACAAACTATTAAGAATTGCCAGTAATGATGGCTCTTGCCTTTAATCCTAGTACTTGGGAAGCTGAGGCAGGAGGATTATAAGCCAGGCCAATCTAGGCTATGTAGTGAGACAAGAAAGAGAGGGGAGTTGATGGGGAGACTTGACTGTATTGGGGCTGGAAGGATGGTTCAACAGTTAGGAGCACTTACTGCTTTTGTAGAAGACCTGGATTTGATTCCCAGCACCCATGTTGGATAGCTCACAACCACTGTAACTCCAGTTCATGTGGATCCAACACCTCTGTCCTCCCTGGACACCTGTTCTCAAGTGCACATACTCACATACCAATATACATAATTAGAAATAAAAATAAGTCTTAAAGAGACATTGTGTGAAATGGTAAGGTAACTAATAATTTGTAATAGCTTAGTTTCTGAGTCTGTTTTCCCCAAGATAAATAGATAAATTTTACTTATCTCTGAAGACTGAGATTCAAAATGTGTGTTTAATCACATTCCTTGGGATCTAAAAATCTGAAGATAGCATCTGTGTGAGTATTGTGGTAGATCACCTAAGGGCCCTTTTCTAGTGATCACAAAGGCAGGGACAGAACAAAGGGGTGGTGGCTCTGAGCATTCCCAGGCTGCCCGCAGTGCCCACTGCTATGGAGTCAGAAAGAGATTGGCTAGGAGTCTGAGGTGACTCTAGCCCTTGGGATTCCTTTTTTTTTTTTTTGGTTTTTCGAGACAGGGTTTCTCTGTGTAGCCCTGGCTGTCCTGGAACTCACTATGCAGACCAGGCCAGCCTTGAACTCACAGCCTTTGTCTTCTAAATGCTGGGATTAGTGAAACATTCTTTTTTGTTTTGAGGCTGGTTCTGATTGAGCTTGCCATGTAGCCTAGGATGACCTTAAACTTCCCGATTCTCCTATCTCACCTCCTAATGGATAGGACTGCAGGTATGTACAGTGCCAAAACCAGAGTTTGTACATGCTGGGCAGGCATGTACCAACTAATTATATTTCCAACCCAGAATGTTGTTGGATTTTGGGGGTTTGTTTTTGGTGTTTTGGTTTGGTTTGGTTGGTTTGGTTTTTGTTTTTTGGAGACAGGGTTTCTCTGTGTAACAGAACTTATTTTTAATTAGTTTTAAAAAAAAAAAAAAAGCTGGGTGGTGGTGGCGCACGCTTTTGATCCCAGCACTTGGGAGGGAGAGGCCGGCGGATTTCTGAGTTCGAGGCCAGCCTGGTCTACAGAGTGAGTCTCAGGACAGCCAGGGCTACACAGAGAAACCCTGTCTCGAGAAAAAAAAAAAAAAAAAAAAAAGAAAAGAAAAAGAAAAAAAGAATCTGCCCCTACTCGATGAGGTATTTTGAAGCTTGTTGTTGAGTTTGATTCTGTATTTGGACTTTCAATTTGGAAAACTTGACTGTGTTCAATATGATACAAATTAAATTTTTGGGAGACTAGGCAGTGATATGCTCGTATATAGACTATATTTTCATTGCTTGGAGCTAGAGCCTGAGACTTCTCCCCTTCTCCACTCCTTTGTAGCCAAAAGGTCCCAATTAGTCTTGACTCCCAGACAGGGATAAGAGGGAGTATTGAAGTCAAGGGACATTATAGGCACAGGAAATAACTCACTTCGCTGTTCCTGAATATCAGGCTTGTCCTCCTTCATGCCTGTATCCTGGAATAGTAGGTGGATGTCATCAGTCATGCTGTGATGTACATTTCTGTCTTTTGATTCACTTACTAAGATAAATGAATACTATGAGACCTTGCTTTGGAGCCAAGTTTTGCCCTGGGGATCTTAGTTAGGCTAGATTCATCAAAGATATTAAAAAGAGTGCATAAAATTAAGAAGTAAATTAGCTCTTGAGCCATTGAATGTTCTCCCACAAGATTAGTATTCTCCATGGTTCTCGCTGCTGTTGTTACTTATGCTGTATAATTTAGTATCTGGGCAGCCTTCCACCTGGACATCAAATACTTCAGTATGCTAACAAAATTACATGCCAACTCTCTACTGCTTACTTAGCCAACCTTTTGGAGCCAGAAGACTTTGTTTTCTCCCAAAGAAAGTCATCCTATGGATTTTGTTTTTTAGGTGATCTTAAAGGGCAGCAAGGAGCGTAGCACGGGGGCCACTGGCGTCAACACAGACTCCTCCCGCTCCCATGCTATCATCCAAATTCAGATCAAAGATTCAGCCAAGAGGACATTTGGCAGGTGAGCTGGAACTATGTGGAGAATTGCATTGTCTGCCTTTCCATATGTGACTTTGAAATATATATGCTCTACCTGGGACACCCTACCACCTTGGGTCTTTATTGCAGGGATAGAGAGTAGGTTGTTAGCCTTGAAATTAATCATTGTATAAAGTGCCATCAGTTGATTAACCATGAAGTAATGACCTATTGTTGGTCAACCCAAAGTTATTAAAAGGGACATTGATTGCTTCTAATGTGAAACACAGTATCAGCAGGGAAACAGCAAGGAATGTATCTCAGAGAGCTTGCAGGCTATAAATGGGGGTGAGGGAATCCATTCTTCTTGAGAGAAGACATAGGACAATTGGATGCATTCATTGCTTCTCTGGTGCTATCTTAGCAAACTCTGCCATGCTGATGGATGAGCCTGTCTCACCTCTGAGTAATGAGTCATTCTCTTCTTTTTCATCCTTTCTTGTTAGAAAACAGCCAATAAAACTTTCTATTTAATTATCTAAGTAGTCACCTAACTGATTTGTATTATGGTCACCAGGCCCTTGTGGGGAAATGCTTTATTAATTTCAGTCATACTTTCTCACAAATGAGAAGAGCCAATGGAAGTGTCTGAGTGAACAGTGCCAGCTCCAGCTGACACATCAGGATCTTGTGATGTTTTTGGAAGGCTAACAATAATGTCTTGTCTTGTCTGAGGGTGAGCTGTGCTCCATTCCTTCCCAAGGTTACAAAATGTCAGCTAATATGGAAATAAACCAAAGCCCCGAAGAAGTTGTTCCTGCTGTGTTTTTTAGGATCTCTTTCATTGACTTGGCTGGAAGTGAGAGAGCAGCAGATGCCAGGGACTCAGACAGACAGACAAAGATGGAAGGTGCGGAGATCAACCAGAGTCTTCTGGCTGTGAGTTGCTTAGAATCTAAAAATCCCTGTTTTGAGAGATTTTGCCCTAATGTGAAGCCAGTCACTGAAGCTGGGAAAATCAGAAGGGCAGCACGCATGCTCTCACTTGACAGTGGAAGTCCTGAGCTGGATGGCGGGTCCAGGCAGCCTCTGCCCAGTGCAAGGCAGCTCTTCTTTCTACCCTGTTTCTTTTCCTCAGTCCCTACCAATTAGAAAGAAAAATGTTTCTGCAGTTGCTACATGGCTGAGAAAGCTTTTTCCTACTCCCTAAAATTTAAAATATGCTTCAAGGATGCAAATGTAGAAAGTAGTATATCTCAGATACTCGTCACTCAGTTTCAACAGTTGAAAACTTAACCAGGGCCAGGAGGGTGGCTTAACAGGAAAAGGTACTTGCTGCCTAGCCTGACATCCAGGGTATGATCTCTGGGACCCACATGGAAGAAAGATAGCAACTCATATAAGCTGTCCTCTAACTGCCACCTTGTGCACCATGACACACATGCCACCATACACATGTACACACAAAATAAATCAATATAAAAACTGAAGAACATAAGCAGCCCCATCCTTCCCATAGTTGATTACTTTACGTTATTATCACTGTGTGTGTGTGTGTGTGTATATGGGCACATACATACATGGCAAACGTGTGGAGGTCAGAGGAAAACTTTTGGGACTTGGTTTTCATGGATTCCAGGGACCTACCTCAGGTGGTCAGGCTTGTGTGGCAAGATGCCTAGTGCCATCTTGACAACTCCTGGTTGGATTAAAGGAAACCCTATTCGTTGGGCCCTTTTTATATATACTCCATAATCTCAAAGGGATGCTTTATTTTTTTTAATAATATATCTGTAATAAAATTTGTCATACTTTTTTTTTTTTTTTTTTTTTT